TTGGGCGGTGGGGGGAACAACTTTATTAAAGTTGTCAGTTTTCTGTGTGAGTGCAGATAGTTTCTGCTACCATTATGAACCCTTTTGAACCATCCTAAGGTTTTCCATTCTCCCTCCTAATATTGTCCTTCTGTGCTGTCTGTAAACAATGTTTTCTATTGGCCTGCCATTCCTCCTCAGTTTCCTCTTCACTAACCTCCTAACATTCATCACCCCCCCACGTCTGCAGCCATCTTCATCCCTATCTCTTGCATCATGTTTACTTCACATCCTTCTATTTATGACTGCATGAGTCTCATTTAATCTGCTAAATCTGCTTTCTACACTCTTTTGTCCTATAGTCTTGTTATTGTTCGTCTTATCTTATTTTTATCTCTTTTCTGACTTTCTTGTCTTTCACTTTTTCATTTTTAAAACACACATTTATTTTATTTTACTCACCCCCTCCCCCTTTGTTCCTGTCTCTCTCTTTTTTTTCTTTCACTCCAGTAAATCTTTGTGTGCGCCTAATGAAATCTCTGCTAAAATGGACAATTGTTGCTTTGAGAATATTTATAGAAAATAATAATCGTCCTGGTTTTGTCTGTACGTCCCTCCACAAACCCCCTCTGTAAAGAAATAATTAGTTGAAGGCAGGACTGTGAAAGCCCTCAGCGTTGAGCTAAACAACAGACAGACATCACAGAACCATGGGTAAACAACCCGGGCATCATGGGTACTGCTGCTGCCAGTGTTTATTTTTCTTGTGACTAATGTAGTTTCTGCACAGTTAAAGCAACTGAGGACAGTTTAACACTGAGGATGACGGGGATTAAAATAAAAAAAAAAATACACAGAGGTTGGTGTAAAACCCACCGAGCTTTAGATTAATGGTAATAAATGTTTTATGTCGTAATCATTCACCGTTATATTTACCTACAAACTCCTTTTTTCACTATAAAAAATCTGAATGATGCAGTTCATCGTATCATCCTCTGTCTTTATATACAGTATTATAAATCCTCTGTATTTATATAGTATTTGTGTTGTAATTTTCGGGCTTAGTTGTTTAAATGACATTTGACATGTAATTTTTTGTTTATTAGCTCAAAACGAGTTCATTTGTTTCCTTTTAATTATGACACATGTGATGCTAAAACCAGTGAATGTAAGTTTGTTTGTTGTGTGTGTGTGTGTGTGTGTGTGTGTGTGTGTGTGTGTGTGTGTGTGTGTGTGTGTGTGT